AAGCCGAAAAGGCAGGCACCGATGGATGGATGGATGAGTATCCCTTTCGACCTCTTTCCTGTTTGTTTGTCTGTCTATCTGTCTGACTGTCTGGCTGTCCGTCTGTCTGTGTCTTCAGGCGGCTATTGGTGTCGAGTTCGCTCACCCCCTCTCGGCTTCCCCTTCCCCTCCCCGGCCCGCCCCGGCCGCCGTGCCCTGCAGTCATCGCCGGGTGACCGCAAGTTCGACTTTTTGGACTCGTTCGCCTTCCTCGAGGGATTCGGCATCAGCCGGTCCTCCCTCACACCCATACAGACCTGCGAGGCATGCGAGCTGGACCGCGACCTGCTGCTCTCCGAGCCGGTCGCGCAGACATACGGGCTGGGCGGCGACGACCTGCCGCCCGCCAATGCGTCGGTGTGCGGCCTGCCTTACGTGGCCTGCCTCGAGTGGCGAGACGAGATGTACGCGGCCAACAGTACACAGCAGGGGTATGCGCTCGTGTGGGCGACACGGCGGATCGACCCACCGAGGAAGGCTGTGCAGTTCCCATCGGAGGTGGTGGTGCAGCTGACGCGGGTGGTGGTGGTCTTCTCATATCGGTGGCCCTTCTACGGCTCGCTGGACCCAGTCATCAACACACGGCCAGATGGGGTGGGGGAGAATGGTCTGGGGAGGCTGGCCGTGCTGTACATGTTCGGGGCGTCCGTCAAGGGCACCTTTGGAGAGGCCCTCACGCGGCTGACCAACCTGCGGACGCTACGGCTCTTCGAAAGCAGCATCGAAGGTTAGAGAGATGGGAAAGAAAGGGCAAACCAACCAGACGCGCCTTCTCGTGTCTGTCTGTCTACGAATGGGTTGATGTGATTCATGTATTGGTGCAGGTCCGTTGCCGTCGGACATCGACAGATTGACCAAGCTGTGCATTCTGGACCTGGAGCGCAACCCCATCGGCGGTGCCATCCCGCCGTCACTGAGCAAACTGGGAGAGCTGCGGCGGCTGTCGCTGGCACAGAACAAGCTGACGGGGGCCATTCCGGAGGACATCGGTGACTGCAACAAGCTGGAACAGCTCCTGCTGGAGAACAACCAGCTCGACGGTAAGTGAGAGGTGGAGCAGGGGAGGGAATCGCTGTGTATGTGTGTGTGTGTGCTGATGGGTATATCAATGAATGAATGCATCCATCCATCTTTGCAGGTCCCCTGCCTCCGTCGCTGGGGCAAACCAGCCTGCAGCAGCTGTACCTCACCAACAACAAGCTCACCGGTACGGTCGGTACACACGACACGCGGCACAATCGTATGTATCGTTGCATGTGTGAGCGCCACCCACCCCACCCGTCATCATCCTCTGTCTGTTTGTCGGCCGACGTGTCGTGTCGTGTGAATCAATCATCATCAGGTTCTCTGCCCGACATCTGGTCCGACCTGGGCAGCACTTTGGAGCAGGTGGATCTGAGCAGCAACCGGTTCGATGGCGATATCCCCCTCTCCATGTGGGTCGGCGCACAAATCCTCTGGGACCTCAACCTCGCCAACAACCAGCTTGTTGGCTCCCTCCCGTCATTCAGCACCGTCAACTCGTCCCTGCGGCACCTGGACCTTTCAGACAACGAGCTGACGGGTCGGCTGCCGGATGACATTGACGCGCTCACATCCCTCGAGCGGCTGTTGCTGCATGGCAACCGGCTCAGCGGACCGTTGCCTGAGAGTGTGGCCAGCCTGGCGCAGCTGCGGCAGATCGACCTCAGTCGAAACCGGCTGGCGGGTCCGATTCCCTCTGCGTGGGGGTACTCGGCTGGCTTCAATGCGACGATAGAGGAGATCAACCTCAGCCACAATGAGCTCACCGCCCTGCCCGACACACTGCCGAACGCCACACTGCGCGTCTTCAATGCCGAACACAACAACGTACGTGCCTGCAGCCAGGACCTGTCTCTCTCTGTCTGTAAGTGCCTGTCTGTCTGTCTGTCTGTGTGTGGTCGATCAGTTGACGGGCGGCTTCCCCTCCACGTGGCGCCAGCTGCCCTCCCTGCAGCGGCTGCTGTTGCGGCACAACCGTCTGTCTGGCTGGATGCCGTGGGGCCGCCAGCCCGACCAGTTCTTCAACGAGGACGGCTCGTTCGACCTCTCATACTGCTGCGCCAACTGCACCGACACGGCCTTCACCTCCCCGCTCGAGTGGAAGAACCTCGAGGAGATCGACGTCTCTGAGAACCCAATCAGCGTCCCCGTCCACCACATGCTGCGGTCGCTCTCTCGGTCGGCGGGGCTGGTGACGGTGCGGGCGGCGGGGTGTGGGCTGACGGGGGTCGTGCGGGAGACCTCACTGGTCTATGTCCGCGGCATCGACGGGGGGCCAGAGGACGAGGACTGCGTCGCCATAATGGGATTCAGGTCACTGCAGCAGGTCGACCTTTCCAGGAACGACATACATGGTATGTCCACGAAGGAATGAGCGGCCCGGCCCACCACACGGGCTTGACAGGCAGACAACAATGTGGTGTGGTGTATGTTATGTGCAGGTCTGAAGGTGCGCTTGAACATCGACATAGGCGACTTCCCGGGTTTCGTCAACTGGAACCTGACTTCTAACAACATCACCACCCTGGAGCCGCCGGGCTACTGGCTGCAGCGGCCGGACTTCTCATTCAAAGACAACCCCTCCCTCCACACAGTCGTCCAGAAACCAATCGTCGTCAAACACGGCAACAACAACTCCACCACCAGCACTGACGACGATAGCAACAACACCACCACCACCTCAACCACCAACGGCAACACGACCTCAAGCTCCTCGTACCTGCTAGGTTGCCGGGCCATCGAGAGCCTCAAGCAGCAGGCCCTAGAAGCAGAGGAAGACACTGAAGAGGGAGAGGGAGAGGGGGAGGGGGAGGGAGAAGCAGAGGGCGGTGAGGAGGCCGAGGAGGACACCGAGGCAGATGGAGGAGACAGCACCACCACGGAGGGCGGCGACGCCCAGATGCCACAAATTGAGGCGGATGCGGTGTACGTGGACCCTGCTGGCTGGCGGGGTGTGGGCGAGACCTATGAGTGCACGGGGCTGTGCGAGCCCAGCGAGGTGGACCCCAGCCTCAACGTGACGGCCATGTGTCGGTGCAAGC